CGAGCTGCAGCTGGTGGCGCGGCGCATCCGCAGCTTCCCCGACTTCCCCATCCCGGGCGTGCTGTTCAGGTACGGGCGGACGGACCGAGGAACGGACGGGGCTCCGTGGCCCGGGCTATGGGGGCGCGGTGGGCTCTGCGTGGGCCCGGGAGTCACCAGGCCTGACCTCGCGTACCAGGGACATCTCGCCCCTCCTGAAGGACCCCGACTCCTTCCGCGCCTCCATCAGCCTCCTGGCGAATCACCTGAAAAGGGCCCACGGCGGCAGGATCGACTACATCGCGGGCAAGTGGAGCGGCGGGCGTCCGCCGGGTCCCCGGTCCCACCCAGGACTCTACTGCGTCTGCCCGGCACCATGAGGGCGCGGTGGCGGGGTCCTTTCTCCTGGGCAGGGCAGACCGGGGGAGGGAGGCCCCACTTCTGCTTGGGGGAGGGCTTTGGGGAGGGTCCTTCAGGGACCTGCCGGAGGCCCCAACGGTGCCTGGGTTGTAAGGACAGACTGGGTATCCGACCCTTTGCAGCCTGAGAGGAGAGACAGGCCCCTCCAGCGGCCTGGGAATGGCCGCAGCCGGGTGGGTGCGGGCGCGAGGCTGCGGGCAGACCCCCCAGGTTCCTGGTCCCCAGCCCTGAACAGGTGGGGCCACACAGCAGCATTTCCCTCGAGGGGTCTGGCCAGAACCCACTGGGTCGAGCATGCTTTCTGGCTGCCTTCTGATAGTGGACGTTAGGCCTCTGCTGTGTGCCACACCCTTTACCCAGTAGCGGGCTTCAGGAAAGCTACTTTCCTGAATCTTGTCTTAGTGAAAGGCAGGTCCCTGTGTTCCCTGAGGGGCCACGGAGGTGGAGCGGGGGTGGGGTGCCCGAGTTGGATCCTTCCCTCACCAGGCTTCCCCATCACGGCTCAGTCCACCACAAGGCATGGCCAGTGCCCAGTCACTGCCTCTTCTTCTGGACTCGGAGTTCCTGGGGAAGACACTGCCTTTAAGGATGACTTAAGTGTCTTTGAAGTTTTATGGTTACCACCAGCCACTGGTGAGCAGCTGAGCTTTGGAGAGGTCAGGTGACTTGCCTGAGGCCATGTAACTATCTACTCAACCTTGTAGGGAGTTTCCAGCATCCAGCAGTCCCTCTGCATGGTAGGTACTCTGTCCACATTCTCCAAGTGGATGGGTGTCATCAGACCTTCAGCTGTAGCCAACAGGGCCATGTGTCTTGTGTCTTGGCGGTGACTGGCTGCCACTGTCCAGCCCTGATCCATGGGGACCCCAATCCTGCTGTGCCATGCGGCTGCCCCCCAACACCCCAGGTTTCCCCGACAGGCCTAGACTCCCGTGGCTTCCTGTTTGGTCCCTCCCTGGCCCAGGAGCTGGGCTTGGGCTGCGTTCTCATCCGAAAGCGAGGGAAGCTGCCAGGCCCCACTGTGTCCGCCTCATACGCCCTGGAATATGGGAAGGTGAGAAGGCTGGGGGCTGCCTCTGTGGCCCCTCCATCCCCGAAAGGAGTCGTGGACTCCAGTGGAGCGGCCATGCTTGGAGTGGACAAGGGCACTGAGGCCGAGAATCTGGGCCAGGCTGACACAGCCAGGAGACTGGGTTGGTTGGAGCAGGGCCCAGGCTCTGCCCTCCCAGGCCACTTTCTGTAAACTGCAGGTCACGTGCCCACCTCCATTCACAGGCTGAGCTGGAAATCCAGAGAGACGCCCTGGAACCAGGACAGAAGGTGGTGGTTGTGGATGACCTGCTGGCCACTGGTGGTGAGGGTCTCCCCCAAGCAAAGAAGCCTGCTGGGGTTGGGGGAGCTTGTCCCTGCCGCCTCTTCCTTCCCCAGCCTCACTCTGTCTCCCCTGCCAGGAACCATGCGCGCAGCCTGTGAACTGCTCGGCCAGCTGCAGGCCGAGGTGCTGGAGTGTGTGAGCCTGGTGGAGCTGACCTCGTTGAAGGGCAGGGAGAAGCTGGGGACCGTGCCCTTCTTCTCGCTCCTGCAGTACAAGTGACCCCAGCCATGGCCCACACCAACTGCAAGGGGAGAGGGCTGGCCTTGGTGGCCAGTGACCCCCCCCCCCCGCACTGGCCAACAGGGGCCCTGGCTGCCCACCTGGACTTTTTCCTGTCCCTGTGGCTGAGTCTCCAGGCAGGTTGCTGCCTGGAGCCCTCCTGTGGGTTCTGGAACTGCCAAGGCCTGGAGCTGGTGGCTGGAGCCAGCCAAACCCAGACCACTACAGGCGTGTCTACAGTGCAGTGAGAATATGAATAAACAACTTTCTAGAGCAGTGTCTCCTTCCCAGTGTCCAGGGTGGAAGGTGCAGAGGCCCCCCCGGCGGGCTGAGCACTTGGTGACATTAGCAGTTGGTGGCTCCCACTGGGGGAGTCCTCTGAGCACAGCAGGGCTTCCCCTGCTGCTGTAACTCGTCACACCCATGTGCAGACTTACAACTTTATCTTACAGCTCTAGAGACCAAGTACAAAAACCAAGGCATGAGTCGCAGGGCTGATTTCTGGAGGCTCCAAGGAGGACCTGGGAGGGCCAGTTCTGGGCTCTCCCAGCTCCTAAAGGCACCTGTGTTCCCCAGGCTCGTGGCCCCTGCCTTCATTTTCCAATCTCAGATTCTGCATGTCTTCCTCTCAAGAGGACCCTGCATCCACCTGGAGATGCCAGGACCACCTGGAGAGCGCATGTGGACAACTGGGAGGGTTATTCCACCAACGGGACCCCCTCCCTGACCCCACTTCCTCGCACCCTGTATACAGGGGGGCCAACAGCACTGGCTGGAGACCCTCAAGCCCAGCAGCCAGCACCCAGGCGACCCTCCTGGGGACTCTGGACAGGGAGAGCAAAGTGCGTCGTCTTCTGAAGGGAGTAAGGCCCAGGCACAGAGGCCAGGCTGTGTCGGCACGCCCAGCAGGCTCACAGGTCTGCCTCTGCACGGGCAAGGCGGGCCAGCCGCGCCGTAACGCCCGCCAGGTCAGCGGTCTTGTCCAGCTTGACGTAGGTGTCAGTGCGGATGCGGTGGAGGCTGAGCCAGTCGGGCAGCAGCTCGGAGAGGAGCTGCACATGTTTCTCCATCTCCCCTGTGGAGGGAGGGGATGTGTGAGGCTGGGCCCGCAACCCATCTCCGCCTCGTGGGTGGACTTGCAGGCCTCCCGTGACAAGGTAGGGAAGGACTCATGCAGTGACCACAGCCCCACCAATGTGACCCCCCGCTGAGCACCACGTGCATCCCAGCCCACAGAGACTGCAGCGGGAGGCCGCCTGCAGCTCAGAGGGACTAGAGGCCTCAGAGGGAACAGACGGTCCTGTGGGGCCTTGGAGCCAGCGAAGGGACCGCAGAGGCAACAGGGCTGGGGGGTGGGGAGGGTGTGCAGGCTCTCGAGCCCAGGGGGCCAGGTGCAGCCTTAGGAGGGGACCCTGAGGGCACTGCGCCCACCCTCTCCCAGGACACAGAGCCCTGGGGAGGGGCCCTGCACACACCGTGGCTCATGGCCATGCTGTAGCTGCCCACCATCCTGGCACAGGCCACCTCCATGGTGAGTGCCGGCTTGCGCTCTGACACGAAGACGTTGCGCAGCACGCGGGCCAGCATGGGCAGACGCTCCAGCTGCTGCAGCCGCTGCTCCTGCTCCGGGCACCTTGTCATCTGTGCCAGCTGCTTCTGTGCCTCCTTGGCCCGGATCTGCAGTGGGCACAGGGCAGTCAGGGGATGTCTGGCCTCACACTCCCCACCCCACCCCCCCGGGGGAAACTCACCCGCTCCAGCAGGGCCTGGGACACCCCCTTCAGGGCTGCAGGCGCAGTGGTCGGTGGGGTGGCCGGCAGCGCCAGGCTGGGGGACCCAGGGCTGCTAGGCTGGGCCGTGCGCAGGGCCAGGTCACTCAGGGCCTTCTCCATCTGGGGCAGGTCAGAGGGGAGAGGGATCAGGGGAGGCTCCTCACGCTCCATCTGCGTGGACCCAAGTCCAGATTCACCCCAGCACATAAGGGGCCTGTGCCCATTGCCCTGGGGCAGAGCCAGCTGTGGGTGGTGTGCCAATCAGGGAGGGCACGTCCCGCCACGGAGACCCACAGCCAAGGGTGGAGCCTGTCAGGTGCCAACTTGGGGGTCAAGCTGCCCCACCCCGGCCTCACCTTGGGTGACATCAGGCTGCGGGCACGGGCCAGCACCTCCTGGGCAGTGGCTACCTTCTCCACGGTGGGCGGCTGGGGCAGCTCAGCTGGCTCGATGTCAGGCACTTCGTCCACGTTGAAGCGGGGGTGCCAGCGTGTCAGCTGGTCCTCAGGCACTTCCATGGGGGGATTCAGGGAGGCCAGGAAGGCCTGTTGTGGGGGACACCAGGTGACCATGGGCATGTCTGTGTGAGGGTGAGTAGGGCTGTCCAGGTTCCTGTCCCAGCTAGGCAACCTTGGGCACAGCATAGAGCACTTCCAGCACCTAGCCAGCCTCCCAGGGCCCGAGGCCATAGCCCCAAGTCCCCTGCTCCTCTGCTAAGAGCCAGGGTCCCCATCCAGCCCCCACCCACCCATCGTAGAAGACGGCGGGGAAGCCTGGTTAGGAGGAGAGCTTTAGAACACAGCCTTGAGGGGAGCCAGTCTCCTGCTGGGTCAGATGGGGCCCTGACGGCAGGGCGCCTCCTACAACTAGGAATGAGCTGTCATCCACCAAGGGCTGCCTGCTCACCCTGTGATGCTCCCGGACACGCGCCACCAGATTCTGGCTGAAGACCTGGCGCCGCTGCAGCAGGCATGATGCCGTGAGCTGGGGGGCTGGGCTGCCAGACTCTGTGGGGAGAGTCCAGGCCTGAGCCCCAGGCCCCATGACCATGGGTCTCGGGCGAGGCCGAGTGCCTGACACCTCAGACCCTCACTTAAAAAACCATGCAGCGTCACGGGCAGGGAAACCGAGGCTCGGTACACTCACGTGGGTCCAGTAGTGGCTCGATGGTAAGCTGGTAATCAGACCTCCTGACGCCATCCTTGAAGGTGGGGAGGCGGCGTTCCTGGCGGAAGCGGTAGGACCCGGGATACACGGTTTTGATTTGGCCCACGTTGTGCTCCTCAAAGCGCCTACGGGACAAGGCTGTGGGGGTCAGAGCTGGGTTGGGGGCACAGACTCCAAGGGCGGACCCTGGCCCCTGCTCACTTGCGCATCATGTCCTGGACGCCCCGCTTGACTTTGGCGAAGGTCACGGTCTCGGAGCGGTTGTGGAGCATGCCCACGATGGTGTCCATGCTGCGGAACATCTCGGCCAGCACCTGGTACTTGTAGGGCAGCACGAGGCCCGGGGGCCCCGGCTGGGCCAGGGCGTGGAAGCGCTGGTAGGCAGGCACCTTCTCTCCACTGCCAGGGAGGGAGCCAGGCCTTGAGTGAAGCACCAGACCCACCCCATCCAGCACCCATCCAGGCAGAGTGGCCGGGGAGACCCCAGGACACACTGCACACCGGTTTACAAAGCCCTGCACACTCACCATCTCCCTATCATGAGCACTGTCAGGGATGGAGACAAAAATGTGGCTTCAAACCCAGCTGTCACCCAGGGAGGTTCCTGGCCACCCCCAGCCCTGGCTTCTTTGTCTCTAAGAGACATATGACGACCAGATGACCAGGGGAGGACAGATGTGGGACCAGGCTGCAAGTACCCAGTAACTCCTGGCCATCAAGATGGTCTCAAGTTCATAAGGCCCACAAGACAGGAACTGGCCCCTCTCATGGATGGAGACTGAGACCAGTCAACTGCACCCACCCCCTGGAAAGAGCAGCCCCTGGCCCTCAGCCCAGAACTGTCAGACCTCCCACCAGCCTGCCCTTTCCTGGGGTGCCTGACTGCCCACCCAGGACTCACCATGGCCCTGCCAGGTACCCCTTGTCTTCCAGTGCACCGGGTTCCCCAGCATCCTTCCTCTGGGCACTTGCCCTCAGCTCCTGCACCCGCGCCCCCAGCTCCTGTGCCCGCTGCAGGCAGGACTTGAGCTCAGAGAGGGTGACCTTTGAGGGGACCTGTGGACACAGGGTGCTGTCAGCCAGCCTGTCACCCCAGGCCAGTGCATATCCCCTACCCTCAGTCCGGCCTCACCTTGTCCTCCCGGGCCTCCAGGCAAGTCAGCTGTGTTGAGAGGGAGTTCTTCGTCTTCTTGCCGGGAGAAGAGTGCTCTGGGGAGCCAGGGGCAGCCGGGAAACTGGGGCCAGTGACCTGGGGACAAGGACCCTAGAAAAGACGGAACGACAAGACCCTGGGTCCACCACCTCGTCAGACAGACACTCTCCTGTCCCCGGCTAACTGGAATACGAACCACTCACGGCCAGGCCTGACCCCTAACCCCGCCTTGCAGACGCCTGACGTTTACCAGCCCGCTGCGCGCCGGCCCTGCCCCAGCTTTGGGCAGACGCTGCACTGCAGCTGTCACAGGAAGTCCTCGGGAGGGGAGGCTACTGGATCCCGCCTACAGGTGCACGTGACCTGGCCCCAGACCCTCCTCCCACTGGGGGCCGCGGTTTACCCTCCGCGCAGGTCTCTCCCGGAGCCCCTCCCCGGCCTGTTCCCTCCCCGCCCCGGACGGCGCACCTCTCCCCCGTCCCCTCCCGCCCATCCCCCTCCCGGCCTGCGTCCCCTTCCCCTCGGCGCCCCGCGCCCTCACCTCGG